TGTAGGCTTAGTTGAAGCGACCACTGCCATTTGGGGGGCGCGCGCGAGCTGTCGCGCCGAGCGCTGCTACACTTGTCATTTGTGTGTTTCGAGGTGCGCTTGCCCGAGGCTCCGCACAGCGGTGGCCATCCCCCCATTTCGCAGGTGGCTTGCGGTTTTCCTTTCCTAGCTTCATTTGCATCTGGTGAACAAGCGTGCGCCAACGCTCACGCTCGGCCCGTGCACGCCCGCTCACGCATCTGCAGTCCTGCTACCATCCGGCAATTGCGCATACATGCGGTGACGAAAATGATACGCTTTCTTGTACGCGTCTGCTGCTGCAGCTCTCATGCCTGCATGGCCCATGTTGCCATTGGCTGTTGTCATCAAAATGCACAGTACTACAGGGTTGCAAGGCTCCGCATTCAATAGTTATTGGCTTGTCGATGCAGTCAACAGAAGTCTTCATGTCAACATGGCGCTCACAATGTGAAATTTCAAAGCATCAGATACCACCCACACAAGCCATATGCCTACGTGCTGGTACAAGCAGTTGCGTTAGGTAGTGCACACGTGCATCGTGTGTACGTCAAGCATACAGCACATGTGACCCGAAATGCTTTTTCGTTGCAGCACTACTCTATTATAATATATATATGTCCTATCTTACATGTATGGACATGTGACATGGCCGAAAGCCATGTACTAGTAGGCAAGGCGTGCTGATCGCCGTGCCCGGCCTTGCGCATCGGAACCTGCCACTGCTGGCAGGAGCACTCGAACCGGGGACCGAACGATATCTGACAGGTCGTGTCCCATTACAGTCGTTCGCGCTACCAACTGCGCCACCAAGAGAGGACATGACACCATTTGCTTTGTCTGAACCTGATGTGCGTCGGTGTAGCTGTTGGGCTCGTGTTGGGGCGCCTTGCCTCGCTGCTGCACTTCAGCAAAGGTGATGACTCTGCCGCACAAAGTCTGAGAAGGCTCGGCTGGAGTGTAGCCAGTCTCTGCTATGTTAAGGCATATACTTGGAAGTAGCAGCAGCTGCAGATCATGGTGGTGATTCAGAGGCCTTTGTCGGACATGTCAGCTTACCAAGGCGGACTTCAACCATTGGATCGTAAAAAACTTGAGACTGGCGTGGGCAAGGGGTAATCGCTTGTTGACCTGTAATTGAAACACCTCAACATATTGATATCATGATGCGTCAACCAATTTGGGGGACGCATGGTAGCCGCATGTGCAGCACAACCTTAGTCACATCTGTAGCACGCCCGATCTCCGTGCCCAGCAGTCAAAGGCTCCATTCAAAGTTGTTGCCGTTGTTGTGGCAGCGTTTGTCCAGTGACATGGGGCGTCGTAGTAAATCATGTTGATCCGGCGCCGACACACCCACCTGCTTGTCACAAAGACGGCGAAAGAGTGCACCAGATGCGCAAGTGGTGTGACCTTGTCCCCAACCTCATCGCATAACATTGGTCCAAGATGTGAAGCTGTGCTCAATTGTGGTGCCAGCTGAGATAAAATTTCTAGCTCTGCATTGCGACAGTCGTACTTCAAGTTGATGGCTTCCTCAGACAAGGGCAGCAACCCCTATACCGCAAGGTGCAGTCAGAACTCTGGTCAGCGGTGTTACTAGTACGTATGGACTTGTATTTATAAAGGCCCAAGGGAGGCCGGGTTGCCTATGCAATCGAAAAGCTTGCGTCAACGCAGCAGCCTAGTCTGCGTGTTACTAGTACTAAGCGCAAGTGCCTTGACTGCATCTGCGCATATGACCTCTTTCGCTTGTTGAACAATTCACACATGCGTTTTGGTGACGGCACCGTGGTGCTGCTGCTGCCAGAGACGATGTCTGCACGCGATTATGGTTTCATTGCATTAATCGAGTCTGTGGTGCACACTGCACGTAATGCTTGCTCTGGGCCTCAAGACCCCCAGCTGCTTGCCGGAGCCAAGATCTGGCAGACCACGTTCCTTCTCTTTCAAAATCTGCTTTCCATTGAGACTGCCATTCGTCATGCATGATCATGCATGCTTGGAGCCAACAGCAACTTGAAGCAAGGCACCAACCATGTATATAACATGCTCTTGCATCCTTTCAACAAAACACGTGCTGATGCATTCATTTGCACTTTTTCAAAAATTTAAGAACATTATGAAAGCTTACATCAGCAGGTGCCGCCTGAGGCTACAACGCACTTGCAAGCAATTTTGCAAGTCGTCGGTAACATGAGACTTCAACGCACTCTAGTGACCAATAACGACAGCCTGCTGAGCAGCTAGTTGCCGAGTGTTTAAAAATAAGATTGTGTCGCAACAGGCAGGTTGCAATTGATGTTGCGCAGTTGATTCAATGGATTGCAACCATTGTTCAGAATGTGTCCGAACACTGCATTTTGCATCCTCTCACGCTGGCGTACTGACTCAGCAGTGGTAGGGCATCAGGCCCAAGTCCAAAGTTTGCTTCTTTAGATTCCCGGCAAAGTGGCTGCAAGATGTGGTTTGTAAGGCTTATGACGCTCAGGCTGATGTGCTGCCCTTCACTACGCTCGTGTAGTACCCCGTCAGCTGCAAGTTTGTAGTATCATATGATTGTGATTGGTGATCACTGCGGTTCTGTACTTTATAATTAATTCTCGCTCAGGGCGCGAAAAAGGCCCAGATGATTGGCGGTTCTGTACTCGTTGCAGCTGCTTGCCAGTGAGTGCCGCTGTGTCCGACCTCAATTACCTTGCTACAAGCCTGTAAGATGGGCCCCTCATGGATGGGCTCATATGCACCTATCTGGTTCTTGACCACAAAACTTGGGACTCGCTCATTCATACAGGTTCTTGAAGGCAGCAGCGCTCACCCGCCTCGCTAATGCACAATATGAAAAATACTTGAGAATTCTAACGATGGGCACACACACCTTGCCTGCGACCCGCCATATGGTCAGCTGTGACCTGATGCATCATGACTGATTGGATGTGGGCAATACGCTGTGTTCATAGGCCATAGTATACATGTATTTTACAGGGTGCAAATCTTCAAAGCTCCATGCATTGGCAATTCGATTGGAGTGGCGGCGTGCCCCTTTCCACCAGACGCCCCACGTTGCTGGACACATTCTGCAGCAAGAACAGTTTGGAAATGGAGTGCGAGGCACGCATGCTACAGCGCGATTTCAAGGTTCGAAATTTTAGAGGCACTGCGTTTTGGGGGGTGCGTGCTAAAGAATTCCTAAAAAGCATTGTGCTGCCCCTCCAATGGTTGACGCATCATGATCTCAATATGTTGAGGTGTTTCAATTACAGGTCAACAAGCGATTACCCCTTGCCCACGCCAGTCTCAAGTTTTTTACGATCCAATGGTTGAAGTCCGCCTTGGTAAGCTAACATGTCCGACAAAGGCCTCTGAATCACCACCATGATCTGCAGCTGCTGCTACTTCCAAGTATATGGCTTCACATACCCGAGACTGGCTACACTCCAGCCGAGCCTTCTCAGACTTTGTGCGGCAGAGTCATCACCTTTGCTGAAGTGCAGCAGCGAGGCAAGGCGCCCCAACACGAGCCCAACAGCTACACCGACGCACATCAGATTCAGACAAAGCAAACGGTGTCATGTCCTCTCTTGGTGGCGCAGTTGGCAGCGCGAACGACTGTAATGGGACACAACCTGTCAGATATCGTTCGGTCCCCGGTTCGAGTCCGGGCCAGGAGAACATGCCTATTTTTTTCCAATCATGGGGGTCACAATTTGAGGCTGTTGTCAGTTTTAAAAGCCCAGGATGAACGAATGGCATTTAATGATATTCATTAAATGACATTTCACTTCAGCATGCTGCACAAATGCGGATGCCCATGTGCCCTAATGAATCATTATGGCACATTCGGCTGAGTGACCATGCATGGTCCTCGAGCTGAACATATTTCATCTGCATGCTGCAAGCAGAAATAATGGGGGCACGGCAAAGCACGTGCAGTACTCCAGGCGCAATGACTTCATGTGAAGCGGTTCTGGGGGAGCAGCCCAGAGTGCAATATGCACACATTCTTGAGAGCGTGTGCTGTGGTTCATTGTATACCTGTGGATTCATGTTCCATTCTACATTCGGGGGACATGTCTGCAGAGATGCAAGCCAAATCAATGCCCGACAGAACGACATTGAGACGTCAACTGCACTGGCAAAAAATGTCAAGAGCGAGCAAGTGCCCACGGGTACCGTTAAACTTTCTCTTCCAATGCCATGCGGAAGTGCAAGCAACAGAAATGCTTGAAGCACACTCATCAGCTTCAGGGGCCCTTCCCCTCAGACTACTGGTGACCGAGCTGCAAATAACTACCACGGTGCGGCAACACGAACACCGGCCTGGTTGATACGAAAAAGCTAGGTGGTAATATGTGAAGATGTGTGATGTGGGATGAGTGAGATGCTAGGTTGAAGCTGACTTTTGGTGAGCAGTTGAGAAACAGAGAGAGGTAGAGAGAGAGAGAGCACAGAGACAAGTTAGGGATCACCTGTGTTAATGTAGATGGTCCTCACAGCTAGCTGCACAGTCCAATGCTTGGGTGGGGGGCTTCCCTCAGTCTTGCTCCAGCGAGTTCCAGGAAGAGAAGTGTGACACTCTCAATCTCTGGCCAGCTAGGGCCTAGGGTTAGAACTACAAATGTGAAGTTGCATACAAACACCTAGAGACATCATATAGGAAGCCCTGGTACCTAGAACTCTCTGATGGCATGTCACCCTTTCAGCTAAGGTGCACATACCCAAAGCCGTAACAACTCCCCCTTCCTAGACACAACTCCGTCCTCGGAGCTGCCCCAGGTTCTAGCATGAGAGAGATGCACGAATCAGGTCAACGTTCCAGGCCCACCCAACACACCGCTATGCTTCCTATGCAGAAGGCTATGCTGCACAGGACGGCTGTGTCGGACCTACTGCGGGACCCCGCCCAGTCCACGCAGCACTGTCACTGAGCCTACTAGCTTGCTCATGTGACGGCCGTTGAGCCGTTGGCAATGGCCCACACGACCCTAACCTCGCGCTACTTCGCTAACTGGAGTCATCAACAGCTATCGGCTCCGCCTCAGTCGCGGCCGCCGCCAGCTCGCTGTCTACTGGCTTGTCGATGAGTATGTTCCATGCTGAGTGTCTGGCCAGCTTTGGCTGAGACTCGCCCTCGCCCGCTGTGTAGTAGCCAGGCCTCAACACAACCGTACGTGGCTGTGACTCTCCGTTGAACAACACCTCAAAGGTGAACTTGCTGCGCCACGGCATGTATGTTGACCAGCTTGCCGCGCGACCAGCCAGTTGACTCCGAGTGATAGCGCACCACCTCGCCCTCGTAGTTGGCGCCAAAATCAGATGGTATGATGGGACTGGTGACTAGCGTCAACTCCGGTTGGCTCGCCGTAATGCCACTGCGCTCCGCCCGGTGCTTGACTGCGTGCGCCAGCGCTACTGCCTGTTTGACATCGGTCTTGGTGATGTCCTCCCACACACCATCGTCATAGCGCGCCCGCCAATATGGCTTGAGGTAGCTGTCTATGCGCCCCCAGATATATGTGAGCGGTGCGTCGCGCGGCTTGTGCTCTCGCACTACCTCTGTACCGCGTCGGAAAACTGCCAGCGCTGCATCGCGCTCCAACTGAGCAGATGGCTTAGCTTCCGGTCGCTGAGCATATGCAAACTGCTCACTCTCTGGGCGCAGCTCGTACAGAGCATGAAAAGTGTCCAGCGTCCAAGGCGTCACAATCTCAAGCATTGCGTCCTTGCCGACCCATTCGCTCAGTTGACCGTCACGCCTGAGCCACCTGTAATCCCAGGTGCCATTTGGGTTGGCCCGCCTGTCGTGAATGGTGTACACCTGCTCATCCACATCAAGGTCCGCCAACTGCTCGCCTGTGAGCCTTGCGTGCACTGTGCCCTTGGACGTCAGGTGACCTGGCCGCCGGTGAAAGGGCTTCATGTTGGAAACGTGGACTATGGTGTGTCTCACTCTCCTGCCCATCATGCGCGCCGAGAATGAAAGCCCTGACTTGGTGGCCTGCATCAGCTGCCATGGCCCCAAATACTTGGGATCTAGCTTGCGACCCCTGCCTGGTACCGGTTGCTGCTCGATCATGACCAAATCTCCCACCGAGTAGCTGACCGTGCGCCGCACATCGCGATTACGCTGCTCTATGCGCTCGCGCCTGATGCCATACGCCTCGTCAATGACGCGTTGCGCCACCTCCATGTGAGTCAGGCGCTCCTGTATCTCGCTGAGCAGATCACCTCTGTGCTTCACATTGCCGAACGCCTCTAGCGGAATAGCTGCCTCCCGGCCATGCACGCAATAGTATGGCGTCAAGCCCGTCTCTGTGCGCGGTGATGTTCTGAGCGCGTACTGCACAGCCTCCAGGCCCTTGTGCCAGTTGACCTGTTGATCTGACACCCAGAGCTGTAGTGCTGCAAGAACACGCCGCTTCATGCGCTCTGCTACCCCATTGGCTTGTGGATGGTACGCAGATGTCTCCACCTTGTTGACCATGAAGAGCCGGCACAAGTCAGCAATGACTGCTGCCACAAACTCCTTGCCTTGGTCTGAAATCAGCTGCTCTGGCATACTGCCAATGTCTAGGAACAGCCTGTATAGTATGTCCGCCACTGTGGTTGCCTCCTTGTCCTTTGTGGCGTACAGCCATACATACCCGCTGCGCGCGTCTACTACAACGAGTATGTACACGTGGCCAGCCGATGACTTGACGGATGCTTGGAGGAAATCCACATGTACGCGTTGGTAGACGTGTGTGGGCTCGATCACCAACTGCACGTACTGACTTGAAGTTGAAGACTTGCGCTTCTGGCACGCTACGCAGCTGATGACGTACTGCCTGACATCAGCGCTCTGCCTGGCCAGTAGAAACGCTCAGCAATCCTGATTAACGTTGCGCCCACACCGCCGTGCGCCGCGCTTGCGTCGTCATGGCCAAGTCTGAGCACCAAGGGCCTGAGCACTGATGGTGTCACCCACTGTAGCAGCATCTTGCCACGCTTAGGCTTGCTAACTGCACAATGTTGAAGCAGGCCGTTCTCCTCGGTGGTGTACAACTCCCTGCACATCATCAAGTGCATAGCCAATATCTTGTCACGGGGCAGCTCACTCTGATCCAATGCCCTCGTGACCGCCTGGCAGAAAGCATGGCGCCTCTGCATCTCCAAGAACACTTCCCTGCTGAGCATCGCTGGCGTAGGTGAGGCATCACCGCCCGCCGCAGCCTCCACGACGCCCGCTGCGTCTGTGTCCGGCCTAGGAGCGGTCATCTTGCGCCTGCTATTATGCCTGACGCCTGATGGCTCTTCCTCCTGACCATCAAGTGTCGTTGCACATGCCTCTGGTTCTGGCACGTGCACACGTGGGTCTGCTGCGCCAGCTGTCAAGTCAGTGCTCAATGAGCTCTTGCGCCTCCGTTTCGATCCTGTGCCGCCTATCGCGTCAGCGCTCACCACATGGGCAAGCCTACGCTTCCCGACCGCCGTCATCGCTGTGTCAGCGCTCGCTGCATCAGTGCTCACCGCACTAGTGCGCCTGCGCTTTGCCTTGGCGGTGCGTAGCTGCGCTAAACCTCCACTGACATGCTGTGCCTCATCGCGCGTCAGTGCGCCTCCATCTTGTGCCAGCTGTACCTGAGCATCAGCATGCCAGGCAAATGACTCTGGCGACGCAAACAACGTGACGTTGCCCTCGCAGTCTGGGGCCGGCACGTCATCTTCCTTTAAAAGCTCCTTGGCCTGCGCAATGCTCATGCTGAACAAGCGTCCGGCCACTCCTCCGCTCTCGCTCGCCGCTGCCATAACAGCCGCATCGTTGAAGCGGTACGGAAACCCGTGTGGTGCCGCTACAGCATAGCCGTGCAACATAGCCACTCTCACCACGCCTTGTTGAGCGCTGCTGCGCACAGTCTGACCTTGCTGAGCGCCGCTGCACGCGCTGTCCGCAGTCACATGGTGATCATCAGCGAATTTGACCCCAGATGGCGGCGCGTTGAAGCACTGCATCTGACCAACCCTCGTCAGCATGCCAGTACTCCTTCGGCGCATCAAGCTCCGCTTGTGTTGGCAGCCGTGAAAGGCCGTCTGCGTTGCCATTGTGCTTGCCAGATCTGTGCTGCACGGTGACGTCATACTCCATGACTCGCATCGCCCAACGCAGCAACTTGCCATTGTGGTCCCGTAGTGTAAGTAACCACCTGAGCGCTGCTGCATCCGTGACCACCGTGACTGGGCACCCCAAGATGTATGGCCGGAAGTGGTTGAGCGACAACACCACCGCTAAGCATTCGAGCGCTGTTGCCCCCATGTTGGCGTCTTGCTCGCTGTTGAGCTTGCTGAAGTAGCCAACAACTACCTCTCTGACCTCCACCCCCTTCTCAAGGCGGCGACGTCCCGTCGTCGTGCAAGCTTGCGCTTGCGCTTCTAGCTCCGTCAGTGGCCTGAACTGCGTGAGTACACCCGCGCATGCTGTTTTGGAAGCATCCGTTACAGCACAAACGGCAACGAGAAGTCTGGGTGCATGACCAGCGTGGCGCCGCACATCGCCTCCTTCAGCCGCTGGTACGCGCGTTGTCGCGTGGCATCCCACAGCAGGTGCGAGTTCTTGTCTTTGGTGAGCTCGACGATGGGCGCCGCCAGTTTACTGAAGTCTTTGATGTAGCGCCTGTAGTAATTGAAGCAGCCC